TTGTTAGTGGTGGACATACTGGGCACAACAGGCATTGACTGTGGGTAGCTCTGCACTATGGGAGCTGCTACAAGGTCTCCTTCCCATCTGCATGGACATGCTGGCTGCTGTCCCACCTGTGCACACACACCAGCTTGTCACCTCTCTGCATGGACACACTGGCTATGACAATGATGCCCCTGCTCGGCGCCTTGGCACTGTCCCACTTCGAGGTCGACAGACTGAGCAAGGCAGTTCACACAGTGGACACTCTCAGCCACATGCAGGGAGCTGCTCCAGACCGAGGTGCTTCTCAGGCTGCACTCTCTCTCCCACCCCAGCACCTGCCAGTGTCAGGGTGCATCAGCCACAGCTCTCAGGCTGAAGCCGCTGCCCAGTAGAGGGATGCAAACATAGGAAGGGCTCTGTGTTGCCTTTGGGCCAGACTAGATGTCCTGTGATTATACCAATTTTCATTTAGGAGGAACGAGCAGTGCTGCGGCTCAAGCACCACTGCAGGAGGGTGTGATCTGTACCAGGAGGTGTGGCCCGGCTCCTAGGCCTGTGCCGGCACTCCTGCTCCCCCACCTCTAAACTCCCTCAGAGTGGGCACTATGACCCACCAGGAAGTGGTACCGGTTACTGTCATGTTCACGACAGGCCATGAGCAGGAATTCAGAAGGCTGATTTTGGACTAGGTTTTCAATATAAAGGAAAAGCTGTGACACTTCAAGTGTAATTGACACTGAAAAAGCAAGGCTCTTCACAATTTCTCCAAATTGTGCCAGAAAGTCCAACCTGACCTTGAATGTCATACTTCCACCAGGGCTATCCAGAGCACCTGGGAAGGAGCTGGGGGCCACACAGTGCTGTATAAACTATTGAGTCAGGGGCTGCGCTCTCAGCAGTGACCTGGGCCCCAAGCATCATGAGTGCAGGTGGACTCTGGCCCGGATGGCTGCTGCACCAGGTCCAGCATTAGCAGGGCTGTGCCAGGCTGGGCGCTGTGCGGGACGCAACTTCCCGCACAAGGCACTGGCTGAAAGGGGATGGGGTGCAGGGTCTTCTGAATAAAACCTAAAGGTGAGATGCAGTAAAGAGTGTGTCTGGATTCTGATTTGAATAAATCAAATGTTAACACACATTGTAAATATAACTGGGTAATTTAAGTATGTTCTTAGTATTAGAGGATACTAGTATTAGATGATACAGGATAATACTGTACTGTGGGGCTACAGAAGTGTGTGTCCTTCTGTTTCAGACATCCATGCAGGAATTCTGAGGAAAGTAACTATTTTCTTTAAAATACTTCAGTAACAAAATTCAGATGAGAGAGGGAAGAAGAGAGGAAGAGAGGGAGAGAGGGAGACGGAAAGCTGGTGTGGCCAAGTATTAGCAATGCTGAGCAGGGCTTGTTATACTTTTCCTTCTCTTTGTACATTTGGAAAACTTTCGAACTAAAACACGATACAATTTTCTCTAGAAAGTGAGATTCTAACAGAAAACAAAAACAACAAACCTACTTCATAGGAGGCCCAGCAGAAAATGGCTGAGAGAGGAATGTATTTCGACTCCAAGATAGGGCCTGATAGCATCTGCCTGGGGTGGCTCCGCACCTCTAAAGAAAAGGCCTGCGCCCCACAGCATTTGCTGCAACAGGCAGGCACCCCAGCCTGGCAGCAGAGTGGGGCTGCCCAGCCTCAAGGGTGGGCTCCCTTCACGGAAGAAGACAACCTCTGTCACTTCACAGCACCGAAGGGGACATTTGTTAGGTAACAACTAACAAAGGGAAAAGTGGCCATCTGCCACCCTATGAATATGAAGATTTAGGAAAAACATTTTAATGTAATACGTATTAATCTTTCTCCATAACACAATCCCAATGTTTACTTTTGGAGAGATACACTAGGAAAAAACAAACTTCTCTGAACAGTACTGTTCTCAGCAGTTGATTCCAACCACCTCAAGTTCATCACCATCTTCTACCCCAGTCACATAATACGTTTCCAGGCAGAGACAGCCAGAATGGGAAGCTGTATCCTGCTTCAACACTACTGAGAAGATAAGTCCTGATAACGAGGGGACAGAATGAACAATAACTAAACACACAGCAAGCACTGGCCAACTAGATTCACAGGGCGATATGACTGTGGTTTAGATTTAATGAGGCCACAAAAATGGAAAATTACAAGATACCATTAGCCACAAATCCCTTGTTTATGACCAATAATAAGGAGCAAAGAAACACCAACATGTACAAGATGCCCTAAGCTCCGAGAGACTCCAAGCAAGGACTTAGCAAATGAAGTAAATCCATGCAGGCAAAGAATTAGAGGTCTTACCGGGCATGATGGCACACACCTGTAATCCCAGCATTTGGGAGGCTGAGGCAGGAGGATCGCTGTGAGTTCAAGACCAGCCTGGGCTACACAGTGAGTTCCAGGCAGGTCAATCTCAACTACATAGTGAGACCCTGTCTCAAAAAACTAAAAAAGAAAAAAAAAAAGAAGAAGAAGAAGAAGAAGAAGAAGAAAAAAAAGAACTAGTGGTCTTGCACATGAATGGAAAGGGAGTAAAGTTTCTGTAGGATATTTTGGAAGGCAGCTATGCTCACCACTCTACCACCAACACTTGCGTTCTGTAGGATATTTTGGAGGAAAAAAAAAAACACCTTATCTAGGTGTTACATTACTAGATGAGATCAGAAGAAACCACCACCATCACCAACTTAGACTTAGACAAATTCAACAGTGTCTGACCAGGGCTGGCCTTGGTCTGGCATCTCTGTCGCACTGTACCACATAGCAGTGGTTTCTCCCGATGTCCACTGATGGCACTTGCAGTTTGCCATAAGCATCAGCCCAAATTTCACAGTGACGTGGATCAGGGAGCCCTCCACACAGTACCCTCAGGACAACCTCAGCACATCGCTCACTGACTCCTCCCACTGCCCTGGGCCAGAAGGGTGTCCACGACCGCATGCAGTGAAGATGGCTAGATAGAAGCACGTATTGCAAGGCACCTGATGTAAGGGAAACATCCTTTTTAGAGAAAGAGTGAGCTCAAGCCATTGCACACTCTGGGACATTCCTTGTTCTTATCATTTATTAACAACTCACTGTCAGCTTGCATCATGACTCTTATAGGTCTGGGTTCACTTTGCTCCTAGTACATCCCAATGAAGATGAGAAGGAAACACTTCACATTTATGCAGTGTATTTTATGTTTGTTTCGTACTGGGGATTGAACTCAGGACCTTGCGCCTGCAAGGCAGGCGGCAGAACCACTGAGCTAAATCCCCAGCCCTATGTAGCGCATTTTAAAACCAATGCTTCTGCAAGCCGGGCATCTAAACACAGCACTGCCTCTGGGCTTCATGTGAGAAGTGAGAGGAGGCCTTTGGCACTGGGATGGTCCAAAGGGCATCCTTGGCATGTGGAAGGCTGTGGGCCGACTCACTTTTCCATGGAACCTACAGAGGCATTCTGTAGAGATTCTATGCATGTTAGCAAAACAAATCAGAGAACACTTCCACCCTAACTGATTACAGGCAGCCTGGCTCACCTCAAAAGCAGCACCAACAGGCATAACAGAGTCTGAAGAGCAAGGTGAGGGCAGGGTGTGTGTGTAGCTCAATGGCAGCATGTGCCTAGCACATAAGAATCCCTGGGTTCAGATGCCAGTACCCCTACCCCAACCCCCACCAAGAAACAAAAAATCCTTTATCAGAGCTGTGTAACATTCAAAACAGATAGCACCGGTTTTTACTCAAATCAAAATATGTACCAAAAAACCAAAGCCATACAGGCTTATTAGCCTTCAGGATTATCTCGAAATGCTTGTCTATTTTAAACCAGATACACACCTTTTTTAACACGTTACAAGTAAAACTTAATTCACTGACATTCAAAAAAGTGTAATAAACCAGGAGTTAGGAAAAACTCTACCTGGCATGTACTAAATTACCTCCTGCATCTAAAGCAAATGATTCTCACTCTGACTTCATGGATTCAGGAAGGGGCCTCTCTATAAAGGAATCTGGAGTGGTCAAGATGAATTTTTCCCTTTCTGATCTCCTAGAGTCAAATTCTTTAAGTTGTTCTGAAAATCAAAAGGGACTCTCTCTGCACTTGTTTGTGTGAAAGGGTTGCTGAAGAAAAGGTTCATATCCAGGGGGGCCTCGGTCTCAGAGCCCCACAAGCTAGAGTCTGTGCTACTGGAATCTTCGGCTGTGGTGGGTGGGTAGCTGAGCTGCTCTAATTGGTCGATGATGTCAGAGAACTGGAAGGCTGAGCTGGACTCGGAGCGGATGGAGTAGGTGGGGAAGTTGACCATGGAGCTGGCCTCAGACTGATTGGCTGAGCTGGAGGTATGCAGCGACAGCCCGCTGTGCAGAGGCATGTTATGGAGCGAGCTGCTCTCGGACTGGTTGTTTCTGAGTGAGCTAGTGTCAGAAGGACTCAAGAGGCTCTGCATCAGGCTAGCTTGCGCCTTCACTTCAAACAGCTCCGAGGTGTCTGAGGGGTGCACATTGCCGTTGAAGTCACTTCCCTCCCCAAATTCAAAATCATCTTCTACATTCATGTCCACTGCCTCGGTGGAGTACCTGTCTGGGCTGGACTGGGCAGACTTCAAGTGCTGGAAGGGAGGGGATGCAGTGGGCTGGGCAAGGACTGGGGGCTCTGGAGGGAGCAGAGAGCTGTACGAAAAGGAAAATGCCTCCGAGCCTCCAGCAAAGAAAGAGATGTCTGCTGGGTCATCATCTATGAACTCCTCAGACACCTGCAGCTGTGCATTTGTCAATGTGAAAACAGGGCCCCCATCACGGCGCTGCCCGCCACCCACATACTCCCCACGGGACAGGAACAAGCCTCCAGGGACATCATCCTTGCCAATGTCATTTCCACCAGCAGCTCTAAACACCCCGCCTGCCCTTCCCACACCTAGGTCTAAGGCACCGAGACTCTGTCCCATGGGACAGACAGAACCATGGCTGCTCACAACAGGACCAAACCCAACACCTGGTCTAGACTGGAGCACAGGGGACCGGAGAGGCTGGGCCAATGGGGCGCTGGGCCTTTCAGCTGCTCCACTGCTCCTCATTGTGGCCACATTCTTGACAGCTGCACTGGTGATGTAGGGAGCCTGGGGATCCACGAGGGAGCTGCTTCTGTCCTTGAAATCAGGCAGGCCGGGTGGGGACAAAGGGGAGGTAGCGAGTGGATAAGAGGCGGCGTTTGCTGAAGACAGAGAGGCAGATCTCAAGCCCTCGGTGAATGTGATGCTCTGAGGGTCAAAATTAGAGGAAAAAAGAAGAATATAAAAAATTACAAATCACCATTAGCGGTTGCAAGCCAGCCTGGTGTAGTGCTGCATGCCTGTAATACCAGCTACTCAGAAGGCTAAAGCAGGAGGATCAGAAGTTTTCAGGCCAGCCCGAGCAATACAGTGAGACCCTGTTTTAAAATAAAATTTAAAAGTAGCGCTGCAATGTACTTTAGCAGTAGAGTACTTGCTGTGCATGTACAAGGCCCTGGACACAATCTCCAGTACTACAACCAACAAACAAAAAATGGAAATTGCAAAGTCAGCTATTTGTCTGCTTGTTAGGAAGGGCAACTGATTGGACTGTCCCTTTCAGAACAGATTTGTAAATGTGGATGGTACTGCAAACCAACCCAGACCATGTGTTTATAATTTCTTATAATTCAGTTTTCTTCTCTTAGGGCATGAAACTCGACAGTAAAGAGAACTGAACAAAGGCCGCCCACATCTCCAGCGCACCCCTCGACACCCGAGGTCTCCAGCAGATGTGCTTGGCATGCAGTTTCACCTACCTGGACAGGAAGCGAGTGATTTCACCCAGTCAGCAGTGCCTCCCCCACCCCATGCCAACGCCAGAGGACAAGTCAAAGCCTAGAGTCCGAGCCTCAGGGAGGGGACACAGGCTGGTCCACTTATGTAAGCAAGGGGCGGCTGTGCAGTCAGTGCATAGGAATGGGGGGTGGGGGGGCATCTCGAAAGCAGAAGCAAGGAGAGCGAGCGTACAAGCAGGACAGACTGGAGGGCCAGTGAGGCAGCCACACGGAGGCACTTCTCCACAGTGCCTGAGCCATGACCTCCCTGTGATTCCACACTGGGAGACACGGGTGTGTCCTCTCCTCGTGTGTGCTACACTGAGATGCAGTCATGCATCAAGAAAATCCTTTCTGTACATAACACCACAGCATCACTGAGAGGACATCAGAATGAATATGCAGGGACAGAACCAAGTAACTGCTGTGCCGCCTCAGACAGGCAATGCACACACAGGTGTGAGCAAAACGCCATGGCCGGAGCCAGCCATTTAGAAACAAAACAGCATTTATGTCATGACCTATAAATTCAAGCTATTTTTCAGTGTTTATCATATCATCTTTTCTTAACCATCCAACCATTCTCATTTTCTGTAGCTTTTAAAATACAATGTAAGAGGGCTGGGGATTTAGCTCAGTGGTTCTGGTGCCTGCTTCACAAATGGCAAGGGCCCGAGACAGGGCTCAAACTTGCAGTCTTGCCTTAGCCTCCCAGCACTGGGATTTGAGGAACGTGCCACCATGCAAGGTACAAGAGGGGCTCCTGGAAGTTCCATTCAGTATAAATGAAGACCATCAACTAAACATTGTGCATAGATAAAAACTGTACAAAGGAGACACAGCATCATGAGGAAAGAGATGCAAGAGTGTCGTCACGCTACTGTGCTCTTTTTATTTTTCACTGGGTTTGTGTGTGGGGGGGGCATACTGGGATTGAACCCAGGGCCTTCATTCACACTGAGCTATATCCCTAGCCCCTTTTCATTTTGAAAGAGTCCAAGTTGCCCAGGCTAAGTTCAAACTTACAATCTGCCTGCCTCAGCCTCCCAGTGGTAGGATTACAGATGTATGCCACACCTGGCTTTACCCCCCCCTTTTTTTTTGTTCTTTACACAGACAAATGGATTTAATTTTGGCACATTCACACATGGACATTACACGCTTGGATCATTTTCATTCTCCCACCCCCTCTGCCCTGCCCTCCCTCACCATCTCATATTTGAGGGGCACATTTCAATGCACATCATTTGCTCACATCCATCTCCTCATTACCCACCCTCACAACTCTCACCAACCCTCTTCCTTCATTCCTCTTGTCTGGTATGAGCCTCCTTTATACTTTCTTGTCATCTTTTTAGATTTTACATATTAGGGAGAATATGCGATATTTGTCTTTCTGAGTCTGACTTATTTCTAGATTCAACTTAATGAGACCCTGTCTCAAAAAATAGAAAATATTTTAAAATCTACATTTGAGCTTTCAGTTCTCTGACGTTGGCTTTTTAAAATTATTTTGTTTTTCTGAGAAAGGGTCTTGCTAAGCAGCTTAGGCTGGCCTCAAACTTGGAGCAATCCTCCTGCCTCAGCCTCCTGCATGCTGGAATTACAGGTAATCTGAGCACCACCACCCTTGGCTCTTACATTGTAATTTTTTTTTTTTTTTTTGGTACCAGGGATCGAACTCGGAACCTTGCTACTTTGATGAATTCATTCATCAGTTCTAAAAATCTTTTGGGAGTCTAAGAGAGCATCATAGCATCTGCAAACAAGAATACTTTGACTTCTTCCTTTCCTCTCTGTATCCATTTTAGTTTTTATCTTGCCTAATTGTTCTATCTAAAATTTCAAGAAATGTATCGAATAAGAGTGGTGAGAGTGGACACATACTCTTTAAACAGCCTCACTGGTGATGCAGAACCCCAGCACATGGACACAGCTACCAGGCAACCAGGAGTCACCCTGGCAAGAGAACAGTTGTTCAGGGGAGGCCTCACGGGTTCCAAGCAACACTCTGAGGCACCACTCAGGGCTCACAGCTTTGTCTTCATTTAGGGTCCTTTCTAAAGACAGAGTCTCAGAGCAGGAACTGCTGAGGACCAGTTTTGGCACTGTTATATTACCAGATGGTTTTCCAGGAGTGGACATAACTAATACTGCTTAGGGTTTCACCAGAAAAGACTGACCTGCTTTGGCAGGTCTGCAGTCAGAACATGTACTGATGTCCGGGTCTTGCTGTGCTGCCTGCAGAACAGAGAACAAACCATGAGTGGCCAAACCTTCCTCACCTCCATGCCTGTTTCTAGTGCAGTGAGTATGTACTACACCCATGATGACAAGCTCACATAAGAATGACGGAGGATCTACACTGAGTGTGGTGCTGCACAGGTATAATCCCAGCACTTGGGAGGATGAGGCTACCTGGGCAACACAGTGAGTTCAAGGCCAACCTTAACTACACAGTGAGACCCTGTCTAATAAAAAAGAGGGCCGGGGATTTAGCTCAGTGGTTCCACTGCCTGCCTCACAAGCCCAAGGTCCTGAGTTCAATCCCCGGTACCACAAAAAAAAAAAAACGACCATCTACCTAGAAATGGGCAGAAAGAATAACAAAAAAAATCCACAGAAACAGAGGCCTCCCCCAAAAGACAAAATTTTATACACCCACACAAATGGAAAAATGTTAATGTCAGATTGAAATATAGCCATATAATATAAAACTATTGTATATAAGCTAAGCTATATACTGCAGACTAGCAGCTAAGAAGTAATATCTATGTCTATATACAACATGTATTTAGATACTACAAATTCATCTTTTAAAAAACTTGAGTATTGAAAAGTTAACTTTTTGAAATGAGTTTAAGTAAAGATTAAAAACATTAAATTATTCATCTTAAAAGCACGTTTTAGATCATGAAGACCACAGAACTTACCTTTCATATGGAATTCTTTTCATCCCACCATCTTTAATATAATCTACTAGCTGCTTCTGTGTTCTTCCACTGTGAATGAAAGTTTAGGTCTTTAAAAAAAGAACTAACAGTAATTTACAACATTAGTTTTTCAGTTAAGAACAGAGCAAAAGTAAAACTAGCCCATCCTTTCTTATAAATACACACGTACAGAGGACTCCCAAGTTATGACGTGTAACTTGGGTTACAACTAGAGTTTCAGTTTTAACTCATGACCAAAATCTTGAGTTATGCCCCAAATGCCAGTCACTTGTGCTACCAGGGGATCTCAGATAGATGTGACCCTTAAAAAAGGTCTAGAAGGAACGTGACAGCATCCTTTCCTGTGTGGGGTTGAGAAATACTGGGCTAGGGTCTCTCTAAGGACACTGAGATCTGCCTGTATACAGCAGACTTTGAGGGCTGTGTAAAGAAGTCTGAGTCTTCACTGACCAACTTGAGTTACAACCAGCCCTTGGGAATGAATTGAGTTTGTAAGTCAAGGCTCCACTGTATGTATTTCAATTTTTTAAAAAATGTTTTTAAAGTACAAATAATTTTCTATGAAGACTTTTTATTTTTTTATTTTTATTTTTGGTACCATGGATCGAACTCGGGTCCTTGTGCTTGCATGGCAGGTGGCAGAACCACTGAGCCAAATCCCTGGCTAAGAAAACTTTTTAAAAAGCCTGTTTTATTACTATTTTACTTGGTATGCTTTCTTCAGCTACTGTCTTTTACAAGAACTGCCCATGAATTTGATTCTTTGCCTTGCCTACCATACCCTCTCTTGACCAAGGACCCACCACACCCCCAATGACACAAGGCCCTACCTGTATCTAAAGGAGGAGCCCCGGCTGAAGAAGACGGCTTTTGCCTTTGGCTTAGGCTGGTCAAGAAGCCTAAAAAAGGTGTGGTACTCCACACAAATCTTCCAGAAGTTCTTACACTCATCTCTGCTACCCAACAAGAATTCTAGCGTGTCCTGGTAGGGTCCCTAGGAACGAAACACAAAGATTGAAATAGCAATTTCCAAATGAAGTACCGGACAAATGCAAGTAAATGTAGATCACACAACAGGTAGTTCCACAGTTAAAAATCAATCAGGAGGGGCAGAGGATTTAGCTCAGTGGTTCTGCCACCTGCCTCGCAAGCACAAGGACCTGAGTTCGATCCCCAGTACCAAAAAAAAAAAAAAATCAGGAAAGTTTCTAAAAACTGTGTAAGACTTCTGACTCCATTTACTGGATCAAGAGTAGCAAAGGACAGCATATAGAATCACTGTAGAAACACGCACCCGTATCTGGCCAACCACTCTCTGAGGCACATCTTTGTTATCACTCTTTTTTTCTGCACCTGTCCAGGTGCTGGACAATATGTCTGTTTTTTTGTTTTTTTGTTTGCTTATTTGTTTGTTGAGACAGGGTCTTGTTTTATAGTTCAGGCTCATTTTGGTACTGGGAACTGAACATGGGACCCTGAGCTTGTGAGGCAGGTGGTGGAACCACTGAGCTAAATTCCAGGCCCTCATTTTGAACTCACTACATCCAGGCTGGCCTCAAACTCACAGTCATCCTTCTGCCTCAGCCCCTTGAGTGCTGGGATTGCAGGCATGGGTCACCACACTTGGCACAGGATTTTTAATCTAGAATATTGTGGACATCCAGGAGATGCAGTTTTCCAGCTCACATATGTAATCATGAGGAAACTACTTCATTCTCTCATTATCCCTTAGGACAGAACTCCCCAACCCCCAGGCCATGGGAGGGTCCTGGTCTATGGCCTGTTAGGAACAACTAAGCCACACAGCAGGAGATGAATAAATGAGTAAAGCTTCCTCTGTATTTCCAACCCTTCCCCGTGGCTCACTTTATGGCCTGAACTCTGCCTCCTTTAGATCAGAGGGCATTAGACTCTCACAGGAGTGAGGACCCTACTGCGACCTAAACACGTGAGGGATCTAGAATCTCATACCTGATGATCTGAGCTGGAGCTGAGCCTGTGACGCCAGCCCTGAGGAAGGGCTGCAAATACAGACTAACACGAGCACAGTGGTTTGACTGTGCAGAGACTAGAACGAACCCACTGCTTGCAGGCACTATCAGAACCCTGTCGGTGGATGAGAAGTGACAGGCAGGCTGTGTGTGGTGGCAGGCTTTGGTGCTGAGTGGCTGTGCTTCACTCATACAGCTGCACCTGGTGGAGGCTTGAGGTCAGACTGCTATACTTATGTTAGTCCGCGGATGGCCTAACCATTATTCCATTTACCATTTCCATCCAGCCCTCTCTCTCTCACCATGAACTTGGCTCAGTTCTGGTTTATGTAAGCCCACAGCTAACCCTGGCCAAAATGAGTGAAAAACAAATGTCACTGGAGAGCTTCTTGGAAAAGGGAAAGGACCCAATGATGAATCAGCAGAGACTCTAAGATGCCAACAAAAGAAAGCTGCCTTTAAAAGAAAATACCTAGAGTCCTACTTAAATTATGGGTTCACCGCAACAGGTGATTCACACTCTCCAAGCCCGCTCTATATAACGTGATGAGTGCTTACCCAAGCATCCCAGATTAAAAGCAAACCCTTTGGAATGTTTCAAAAGAAAAAAATCTATGAACACAAAGAACAGACATAATTATCAGAGGCCATCACTCCAGTAAACGTGTCTGCTCTGAGAGTATCATTCTTAGTAGTTTACAGCATTGCTAAAGCTAAGAAGCCCTTTACTACTGGTAAAGAGTTGATTCTGCCTGATGCCAGAGACATCTGTCATGCACTTTTAGGAGAGGATGCAGTTCAAAAGGGGGCATGTGTTCCTCTTTTAACTAGCACCAGAAGAGACCAGTTGATGAAGTAGATGCTACTGAGGCACAACTGTCAGGATTAATGAATCACTGTGGTATGCAATCCAGGTTGACAAGTCTACTGATGATGGTACCAAGGTAACAACACTTTTTTCTGTGTGAATTATTTTTCAGGAGGATGTGCATGAAGATGTTATATTCATTTTTATTGCCAACCAACACCACAGCTGCAGAACTACTCAAGTCCTTTTCCTCATTACACACGAGGAAAGTGAACTGGTTGTTCTGTGTCAGCACATGCATACATGGCATAGGTGCCATGACTGGATGCTTTCTGGCTTCACTGCTCAGGTCAAGGAGGTCACTTCTGAATGTGAGTCTACTCACTGCATCAGCCAGAAATGCTGGCTGGCTAAAAAGGACACCTGGACTTAATAACATTTTGCAGGATGTGATTAAGATTATCAAACACATTAAAGTACATGCCCTTAACTCATGTCTGTTTGTGCAGCTCTGTGAGGAGATGGATGCAGAGCAACCCATCTTCTCCTATACAGTGACATTCTGAAGGCAGATCAGTGACCAGAGTTTCTGAGTAATGAGAGCTGCTCCAGAGATTTCTTTTAAAAAGGAGTCACCACTGGTAGCACTTTTGAGTGACACAGAATGGGCTGTAAAACTTGCTTACTTGGGTGATACACTGAACCTGTTCAGTGAACTCTAATCTGTGACTTCAGAGAACAACAATGAATTTCCAATGGCAACAGTGAATTCAAGTAGGCAGATAAAATATTCAAAGTCAAACTGGAATTATAGGGGAGACAAGTGAACACAGGGATTTTTAACATGTTTCAAACAGCAGAAATTTTGAAAAAGACTGAACCAGGACCTTCTTTCTTCCAGCTGATGTGTGATCACTTGTTTTAGCTTTTTTTTTTTTTTTTTCCTTTTTTTGTACTGGAGATTGAACTTGGGTCCTTGCACTTGCAAGGCAGGCCACCAAACCACTGAGCTAAATCCCCAGCCCATGTTTTAGCTTTCAACAGAGTATGTGTATTACTTCCCAACCACAAAAGACACTCAAATGGGGGAAGAAATGGATCTGTGGCCCATCTGTAAATAAGGCAGGTGAATCAACTTGGTCTGTGCCAGAGAGGATCAACACCTTGAAATAAAAAATAACAGTGCCCTTAAAAGTATGTGAGACCACTTCAAATCTCAAATTCTGGATTCAAGTCAAGATGAGATATCTTGAGGTTGCCACAAAAGCAGTGACAAGCCTGTTTCCATTTCCAGCATCCTATCTTCATGAATCAGGGTTTTCTGAAGTGACAGCAACTACAATAAGATTATGTAGAGTGGACATGAGCAACAAATTTTGGGTGTAGATGTCTCTGATCACGTTCAGATGAAACCGTATAGGTGTAGGAAAACAAGCTCGGGGCTACCACTGACTCTGGATTACGGTGAATTGTAAGTTATTTTATTAAATATTACAATATAATAATAATAAAAATGAAGTGCACAATATATAGGAAAACTGCCTTCCCCAAAACCTGTCCCTAGGGTGCCCAAAAGGCTGGGGAACTTCTGCCTGCCTTTGGATAAATTCCTAGAAATGAAATTCTGAGCTCAAAGACAATATATATTCTTGACCTTCTGATGTGTATTACCAAAGTACTTGCCACAAGACTGTAATACTTTGATCTCTCTCTCTATTTTTTTTTTTTTTTTGGTACCAGGGATTGAACTTGGGACCTTGTGCTTGTGAGTGGCAGAACCACTGAGTTAAATTCCTGGTCCCTTTGAGTTCTCTGTTTAGTCTTAAAAATGTACGTACTTCAGAGATACAAAATATAACTCTGCCAAGTACAAACATGGCCCTGAACTTTGAAATATCATGTAATTCCAATTAATAGCTGCTCTGGTAAAGTGAGTAGCAATCCTCCCCTTTCCCAGAATAATTTCAAGAAATACTTTTGTAGTTATGGGAAAAAAGCTTTTTATTTGCATTTTGTATGTGTGTTTGGTATTCCTAACATCATAAAATGAGTTATTTGAATAATAAACAATAAGCCATCCCGTGCAGCCCCCACCAAAAGTGCATACATCCACATACAACAGTGAAGCTGGAATGTGACAAATGCCCTGCTAAGCCACAGGCCTTGCAGGGCCTCACAGAGAGCCTTTCTTCTGATTGGCCCAACAGCTCTGAATCTGCATCCCAAAGTATACCTAAACCACTGCACACTGGCACCTTAAGCTTTAACCCCATCATGGCTCAGCTGATCCTTTTCTAAATTCATTTGTATAAAGAAAATGCAACAACCTGAATATCTTTAAACAGTTTTAAGTATTGCATTTGCCCAACTTGGAGACATTTACTTTTTCTTTCTTGGTACTGGGGATCGAACTCGGTTCCTTGTGCTTACAAGGCAGGCAGCAGAACCACTGAGCCAAATCCCTGGCCCTACTTTTTCTTTTTTTAAAAGAAATTTTTTGTGTGTATGTGGTACCAGGGATTGAACTCAGGTCCTTGTGCTTGCGAAGCAGATGGAGGAACCAAATCCCTGAGCCAAATCCCTGACCCTTACTTTTTCCACTTTTAATCATTTCAGTAATTTATATGTGACTATAACTTTGCTGACAGGCAATCTCTAATAGGAATATTTATTTCTTGGTCATCAAGACTTCTTCAGACAGAGCTAGGCTGAGGACAATTTCTGAGCTACCGAAACATGAGATGACTTGCATGCCCTCAATTCTGGACAAAAGTTCTCACTGTGATTTGAGGCAGGGCTCATCCCCCCCAAGCTTCCTCTGTTGGCGTCATCACCTAGAGAGCAACATGGGTACAACAGCCAAGGTTCTCAGAAGCCCTGGGAGCCTGGCAGACATGTGCTTTCTCTGGGGTGCAGCAATGACCAACTTTCCAGGGGGTCAAGGTGAGGTCTGCTGGGCAAACTGCCCTTAGAACTTCCAGATGCCAAGCCCAAATCTTGTCCTTAAATTCTTGTGTACTCGGTGCTAAAACGGTTTATAAAATAGTTTAGAAAGCCTCTCAAAAAAACAAAACATCAGAAACCGCCCCAAAAAAACAAAACCAAAAACCTCTTAACATCAACATACTAGCAGAGTGAGTTATCTTATAATTTATACTTACATGGACCTCGGGGTGGAGTTTGATAAGAAATCTTTTCCTCTTGAAACTTAGTTTACGGACCTTGGACCAGTTGAAGGTGTTGATTTTGGTGGTGCCCTGAGAAACACAAGAGGCTGATGTGGTACCACATTTACAGTCTAGAGGCATACTCCCTTCTGGTGACCAAGAGATAGTTTAAGTTGCATCTTTGACAGAT